TGAGCAAAGGCTCATGTGTTACTCAACAGCTCAGTAAATTTTCTCACTATAATAGCATTGCGTTCAGCACATTTCCATTTTTATAGGGGTCCGATCAGTGTGCCATTCCAGCAATGTTGGTCAGTTTGTCCTTGCCGCCACACAATATGCTCACACCTGCAATATAAGTAAAGAACTAGTGACACCGCAGTCTTTCTGGACTGCTGCGGTGTGTACAATCTCTCATCATCAGCAAAACAGGGGGCGTCACTTATACCCACACTGTACATAAAACCCCACTTATTGACTCACATGTAAAAAAATGAAACATACAGTATGAGGCTTTCCAATTCCTTCAGAAAATCACATGAAGATAATAAGAAACTTGCTACAGTATGTGCCAGCTTGTTAGAACTTGTTAGGCACAATTTACTAGGCGGAATATGAGGAATGTGCGAGACGGTAATTAGACAGAATTGATTATATAAAGCATTAAGAAACCCGACTGGTTATTAAGACAGAATCGTCTAATAATCTAGCAACCTTAGGGCAGCTGAAAGCAAAATCCAGAAACTGATCCTGAAAGTACATCCACTGACAACTGAGTAGCCAATCGCTAACACTGCCCTGAGGTCTATAAACCCTAAGGTCGAGGAATATATAATGTGACAAAATCAAATATTTAATCAAAATAATTGGGCTGGCCTTAGATTACACAGTCTTATCTTTGCACTCTAATTAGTGGTGCTTGCTTTTCCGCATAATTTTTATATTTTCCACCCAAAATTTGACACACAACTCATCCAACACCATCTGTGCTACTAACTGAATAATAGGTCTATTTGTGATTTTCTAAGAAGTGATTGGACACATGGTTTCCACAAGACAAAACAAAACAAAACAATTGAAGAACTGTATACAAATTTATAGCAATATTTTTTTAAATACTATAGGTAGTAAAAAATGGTCAATTAATCTTGATTTATCACCAGTCTTTAGAAAATATTTACTGTAAAATATCTAATGATAAATAATAATAAAAAATGTTATACCCATTTTATATATAGCCTATACTGCATGTGTGTGTATATATACTGCAGATAGATGAAAATGGCACTCACATTTCTTCAGAAAATTTAAAAATGTTGCATGTAAAAAATGTAATAATTGTATCTTGTCCCACTGAAAGCCAAACAAGAGGATCCCGAATACTTTACTTGACCTTAGACATTGTGAATCAGTGAAAATGATTATGAATAGAAACCTCCTTCACCCCTCCATCTGAAACAAGCCCCTCCAGACTCCAGAAGCCGGCTTGACTCTTCAAATACACTCTAATTACCCAGCAGAGTTATTGTATCTCAATAAATCAGCTTTTTCCCCCTTCTACCGCTCCTCTGGAATAAATTAGTCAGGGCTGCCTGACATCGAGACGTCAACCTCTGGCCAGTTGGGGACTGCTGTCTCTTCAGGGCATGTGGATGTGTTTGAGGTGCTGTTCACATCCCCCTCTGCACTGACTTATTTGTAGCCTGCATCCACTGATGTTCCCACCAGAGCAGAGAGAAAAATCAGGAATGGTTGCAGCTCAGAATTTATCATTTGGATGAATTTCTGCAAACACGATGATGTAAAAGACCACACCCCCTTTTCTTTTCCTATCAGACAGTAAATCAAATAAGAAACAGCAAGATGAGATGTACATGTCTGGGAGGTTATACGCTTGTGGACTTAATTGGATGAGATATATGAAGACCTGTGAGAGATGTGGCTAGGAAAGTCATTTGAGCAACAGTAGCTGGTGTTAGTAGTAGGAAGGCACGGCGCTTTCCCCACCATCTGCACTTCAAACAATCATTCCTGTGAGATTTCAGGGCCAGATAAACATGACACTGTATCAGAGCTGCTACAGAAAATCATTTCAATGAAACAGAGAATATAGCACTTGTTTGGTGACTACATATACACATTATGATAAGAACAGCAGGACAAAAGTCCTTTTAAGGCCAGCTGGTTCACTCATAGGGATACAATAATATAACTATGAGGCATACAATAAGTAGTTTGGCTAATATATTATAATAGAGCTCCCCAATACTGTGTATAAATGTTAATAAGTTTCTTATTGATTTTTAAGATAATTTAACCTTTGTATAAAGCAAGGGTATTTCAGGTTGTAAAATGTAATCTAGTTTAACTCCCAGAAATAGTAATACTATTATTAATTAATAATTTATGATATAAAAAACAGTTTGACTGTTAACTTGAAATATATCTTTAAAAACATTTTTGTAAAAATACATAAACCATTATTACATTATAAAAATATACAGTATTGTTTAAAACTTTTTTTTTTTTTTTTTTTTGGTAAATCTCTTATGCTCGCAAAATGTGCATTTATTTGATTGGAAAAAAGGAAATATTTTTACAGTTTAAAATAATTGTTTTCAATATTCAATATATTTTCAAATGTAATTTAATTTCATGGCAAAACTGCATTTTTAGCTTAGTTTTGTGTCACATGATCCTTCAGAAATCATTTTAATATGCTGATTTGATAATATCAAATGTTCTTGAAAACCAATGTTGAAAACAAATATTAAACAAAAAAATTTTTCCATAATATTTTGGAGAATAGAAAGGATTTTTATATGGAATAGAAATCTTTTGTTACATAAAAAAATTATTTACTGACATTTTGATCGATTTATTGCATCCTTGCTGAGTAAGTATTAATAAAAAATAATATTAATAATAATTGTACTGACCCCAAACTTTTGAATAGTAGTGTATATAAAATATTTTATAAAATCTATATTTCAAACTAGATTCATATCTATAATCAGATTAAACTAGATCATTCCATATTCTGCCATCTTGAGCGTTATGATTACTCACAGTCTGCTGTATAAATACTGGTATATCAGGCAACACTCTGTGAAGTAGCTGGAGGAGAAAAGGTCGTCATAATAAGCGCTATATACAAATTCACACAAATGCAATCATGAGTCTCAGTGCTGAAGTTTTCAGTCTCCTTTGAGCAGTGCTGGTGGATGATACAAATGCTTGAATAGCTGTGTGAAACTAATCGCTGTGAAAAGTACAAGGGCATATGCTTTTGATTTGTGCCTTTGGAAGGACATCAGATAGAACAAAAATCAGTTTTTGAAGCAATAAATCACATTAAACACAAATATTATCACAGAGCCATGGCATAATACAGATTTTTGCTCTCCAGTCGACACTGTCACTATCTAAGGAAATGGAGGCAATTTATTGTGTTTAGTCATATCTGATCGGTTCCACAGATAACTTAATAACTCTAAGCAAATCCATCTGTTACAGCTAAAATGTTTTAGAGTTTTTGATGCTAAAATACTTTCTTCTTTTTGTCTAACATGCGGGGAACATTAAAAAGAAAGAAAGAAGGAAAGGAAGGAATAGTCTTATTTAGCAAAGACACAATACATTCAGAAAAAGTGACAAAAAATGGATCATGGTTTCCACAAAAATATTAAGCAGTGTAACTGTTGATAAGAAGAACATTGACAATATTAAGAAATGTTTATTGAGCTCCAAAGCATATTAGAACGACTTCTAAAGACCGGAGTAATGGCTGCTGAAAATATTTAAAATATTGCAAACTATCAAATATACTGTATTAATGTATTAGCGCTTTGAGTATGAGAAATGCGGATACATTTTTTAAAATGTATTATTATCAAAATATGAAACAGTAATTTTAAATCATAATAATATTTCACAATATTACAGTTTTTACTTTTTTCAAAAACATTTAAAAATCTCCAACCTCAAACTTCTGAACATAGTGTATATAGACAATCAGTTGCATGGGACAATTGTCCAATTATACAGTTTAGAATAGTATACAAGAATATGTGACTGGGGTGGGCGTTATGGCCAAAATCTTATATCACGATATGTGTAATTTTATTTTGCAGTAATCATATATATCACAACATAGTTATTTTTGCTTTTAATAAGGTCTTTATGAAATCAAAATTTTGATACCATAGGAATTTCATCATTCTTGTCACCAGTCTCAATATCACAAAAAACTAATACTAGCCTAAAGAAAAAAAGGAAAAAAAAGCAGAAACCTTAAGTTCACTGAAGACAAGAAAACAGTCAGTGATTAAATAAGAATAGGAAACGAATTACAAGCAATAGGACCAAAAACAACAACACTAGAACAAATAAATAAGAAATGCTACATAGATTTTATAAAGTAATCAAATGTATAAAACACGGCATATTCTTTACTGTGTAAATTAAATATCTATTTCTTCTTATTAAAGTTACAAAAGTGATTTATTCAAGAGCAGTGAGAGATTTTCTCTCATTTGTTGTTTGAATAACCTGAATGACAGACAGCAGGAATATTAGACTGCTGTCACTTTAAGAGCTGCCCAGATCCATCATACTGTTACATGTGTTTTCTTTCTCAGCTGTTTGCTTTCACTTAAGACCTAAATTACTGTGGATACTGTGTAATGAGGATACTTGCAAAGACGGGCATTTTGACACGTACAAGTGTGTGTGTATTTAATAGTTCAAGGCCTATAAAGTGGCAAAAATAACTCTGTTCAATGCTTCATGTGCACGTGATTATCCTAATGAGGGTGCATTTATTTTTTTCCCATTTGGAATAAAAAACAACATAATAAAAGAGAAAAAATGAGCAGTCCAAGATGTTTTTTTTTTTTACTGCACCTCAAAATGGAAAAAGACAAGAGAAAAGAAAACATTAGCCAGTATTTGGCGCAGGTGTAAATAATCCGACCAGGGCAGCTGTAAACTGCTTCCTGACAACAGTGCTCCAATTAAAAAACAAATCTCACCCCAAATAAACGGGACTGTCTGACCTTTTCCACATGGACACATTCTCTTTGATTCTCATCTGCTATAAAAACAATGGTAGCCCTTTGAGAGCTCATTCTGCAGTATATCACACAACCAAAAGCTGCCACATTTTTATCCTCAACAGAATTCCACCTAACCGCATACATATCCGCCCCGAGATGTTTTTCGCAATGGCCGCATAATGCAAACGACTGCAAAACAGGAAGCCAAACACTGAAGCGTGTTAGGTGGTAACTGGACAGCTTGAGGCAGACACAAGCTGTCATATGTCAGAAATGTGGCAGGCTGGGTAACAGAACGACAACAGGGAAACAACTTGGGTGTTATTAGACAGAGCGGGGGAAGTTTGGACAGGGGATGACTGCGGGGGACTGACCTTGGAGCGAGGAGGGGCACGGATGTACCACTTGCAGTCCACTGCCTCAGTCTGCAAGGCTTTGCCGTCTTTGGTGATCTGCTGCGATTCAATGATGCCTTCAGGTCCTCCCATCTCGAATTCACAAACTGCAGCGGAGGCAACAAAAGAAGACAAATTACAAAAAATGGAAAGCCATTAGATGTATTCATATGGAGGATGCTTATAGACGAATGAATAATACCCACAGGGAAGAGGTTTGGGGACTCCTACATCTTTAAAGTCGGGATCTGTAAAAAAGAAATGAAATAGGATATAAAAACTGACTTCATTCAGATAACCAATATCCATAAATATTATCGATATATAGATCAACTGAACCATTCAACGTACAATTGACATGTACATTGAGAAGATATGTGAGCTGTTGTTTAATAGCCTCAATAAATATTTGAAATCTTGCTGTTGATGTTTAAAAAATAATGCAGTTTGCAGTCTGAAGTGCATTCTTTCAAAGTGGCATGAACAGGAAGGAAGCATTCAATAAACGGTATTCTCATTTCACTCTCTGCAGAGGCTTGTGAAAAAAATGTAGATGTGTTTGGCAAGCTGTCTGTAATGGAGGGGTTTGGGACCCACCTATGGAGAAAACTTTGAGAAGAAAAGATGACAGAAAGATTTAAAAGAAAATAGGAAAGTGTTTGTTTGTATTCCTTCATCACATTCATTGATTCTACCAAAGATAATGAACATGCTTATCCCAAACTTTCATTTAGAATACTACAAAACTCCACATTATTCATCAGTATTCAATATCCATGAAATACTTTTAACAATATAGTCATCTTCTTTTTCATTTTTGTGGTTCAAAAACTAATAATAGGTTCATTATCGCCACCTACTGGGCTGGAGTGTGGATCTTACTAAAAGAGTGCTGCAGGAATGAGCTCCAAATCACAGAAACAAGTAAGCATTTTAGCACTTCCAATTCCACCGTCCAAAAATCAATGGGTTTTGTAAATGGGTTTTTGGTTAAATGCCTGAAATAAGGTCTGTGGCTCAAGATATTTTTTTTACATTTTATTCTACAACATAAAATACATCAGTAATACCCTACTTATTACTCATTTACTTTTTAAGCTTTTATGGTTCTGGAAAAAGGTGGTTGTTAACAAGTGGATCAGTGGGACTACAGAGGTTGCTGAGGACATTAAATGTCATCATGCCAAACAGGTAAACTCATCTATTCACCAGTTCTCTTTTAGAGCCTTGTTGTGTTTGTACTCACACTCATGCAAACTGAAACTTTCAGGGATTTATTTATTTATTTTTATGTATTTATTTATTTATTAGTCCAAAAGTCAATTGAAAAATCCTATTGGCTTTTTTATCAAGGGAACCAGAGTTGGCCTTCAACAATCAACAACATCACCGCTCCACAAAAAGCTCTACTTCAGCTAAATTGCATTGTTAATAACTGTTATCCTTAAATAACTTTTAAGAACATTTTAGACGTAAACCTGCTCTGAAGCTTTATGTAACAGTACTTTCAATGAAATCTCCTCTGCACCCAATTGCTCTCAATTCTTCTCTGAATAGAATTCCTTCATTTTCAAATGCTCACAGTCTCTGGAGATCAACATTTATGCAAATACCAGACTCCATCCAACAATAGTGGCTAAGAGCAGAATACCTAATGTGCAAGATATTATTGCCTCCAACAATACAGTCTCATCTAGCCAAACTTAAAAAAATCATGGTCCTCATCACTGCAGCTTATTCTGATCAGATAATCATCCACTTAGACAAGGAAGAGATTGTCTGATTGACATGTATTGTGACCAATAACTCTTTTTGTTCATTTAAGTACCTTTTAAGAGTGTATTTCGCCATTATAATAAACTGGATCCATGAGCGTTGTAGAAAAATGAAAAGATCCATAGACTTTTGACCATCCAAAAATATTAAGTACTAATCATTTCACTGGCATATGTCTGAAAACAATACAAAAAAATGCTAGGCCTGGGAGTCAATACAGATTTTCAGATTAAATGCAATACAATTCAGATTCAATAAGCATTCAATTAGAATCTGATTCAGTTTGTCCATGTTTGCTTGCATATGAAATAAACTTCTCTCTGCTAATGCAGTAAATTAAAAAGTACAGTTTATAACTGATTTAAAACTATTGAACTATTAATTAAAACAAAAGTCTACATTAGTCATGTTAAAACTGCTTCACAACAAAAACTGCCATTTCTTTTGGTACAATAAATCAGTTCGGTGAACAGCCTGTGGGTTTGCAGTCTGCCAACATATTTTTAATGTCTCAGCCCTCTTCATCCTAACATAAATGAACATATTCTATCAGAAGCAGCTTTGTGCTACACAGAACTAATAGGTGGGCAGTTTAATCACTCTCACCCCTCTATGATTAGATTGGCTTATATTTAGTATGGGTGATATTTCGCTCTGTGATCCCCCATTCACTCTGATATTCATACATGGACAGAGACGGTGGCATTTACAGAACTGAATCTCATTGAAGATGACTTCTCTTGGAAAAAACATACACATACATACACACAAACATGAGTCTGAACCCCTTCAGAAAAGATTGGATTGTACCTCAGTTACCTTTACAGGAGAGACTGATTGATTTGTGGATTGATCTGGTGTAAACGGCTGATTTATTTCTCTGTCATTTTCACCCTCCTGTGAGCACTTATGTGGGTCACTGTGTGTGTGTGATCGCAGAGGACACCCATCACTATTATGACATATTCACTCCTATTTTGGAACACAGACACGTGGTTCCTGGCAGTATGAGACTGTAGGTTATGAAGCAAGACATTTAAGCTACACTTCTGTAGCATTACAAGTCAACTTATAATGTTAGTGAATGTTTCTTAGAGCAAAAACAATTGCAATTTAGTTGCACGACCATTATATCATACCTTTAAGACATTATAAATGATCTCTGTTGTGATTGGCTAATCTTTGTGTGATTAGATTGGGGTCAAAGGGTCAAGGTATGGCTAGTTAGCATGCAAATTTATTGCAAAGGTTCTGTGCAACCTGTCTTTCTTTAACATTTCACACATTACACATGCTGCTCAACATCTACACTGAGAATTCAGATCAGACGTTGAACCAGCAGATGCGCTAAAGTAATGTAGGATGAAAAAAGAAGGAATGAGAAAGATTACATTACAGCACTAGGGTAGTGGTAGAAAGAGTGAGAACACACAAGAGAATTGAATAGCAAAAGAGATTCATTGGCAGAAATCAAATATAATGGTTTATCAAAGAAGGGAATGGTGTGGAAACAGGACCTGGGTTCTGCCATCTACATTATCACTCTGTGTCCATATTCACACAGCAGAATGTTGTGTCATAGTGCAAAATCTAAAGGAAGCCACTTTAGTTGTCTAAATTTTTAGTTGTCACAACTGAATTTTGAGAGTGTATATTATACTGTAGCATAAAATCCATTTGCTGTAGTTAATTTGATGGCTTGAATGATGTTGGACTCGTTTATTAAATAACGTTTTGTTAATTATAATAAGAAAATAAAGAATCATTTTGGGTTCCCAAAGAATCATGTTTGTCCTAGTCTGAAAAACATTTTAAAGGGGTCATGAACTGAGAAATCAAAATTCCCCTGATCTTTTGACATATAAGAAATTGTTGTGCTATAAAAACATCCTGTAAGTTTCAGAACTCAAAACTTTATTGTTAGTCTAAAAACAGCTTTTATTGAAGCCAGTCTGCCAAAAACAACAGGTTTTGGAATGTGCCACTTTATGATGTAATAGTGTGGCTAAACACCGCCTTCGCAGAAGAAGATCCACGCCTGCTTCTACATCGCTGCCTGTTTAGCCCCGCCCACCGATTCGCACATGTAGTGTAAATGACAAGAGCGGCAAACATAGATCTATGCAGAAACCAAATGCTAAACTTTATTGATGAACTAAACTAGAACTAGTAAGAACTTGGTCCTTTGTTCACTTCATTTTACCGACTAGACACAAGACACAATTTGATGCAGGATTTTCAGAAAGATTGAAACTAAAAGATGATGCTGTTCCGACTATATTGGATCCGACAGTAATGTCGCACCACACAAGCATGTTTATTACGTGATCACTATTGCTTTGTCTGTTATTACAGATTGTTTGATATGTCCTGAGTATTTATGTTTTTTGAACCTAAATCACAGCAGCATCAATCTATGAAGGATGTAGGCTGTCAAATATGCACAACTGTTAGCCAGTCATTGCAGTGGGCGTTTACTTCAGAGTTTACAATCCGCCACGCCTAGACAATCTGCCATGTTACTAAACATTTTACTCACATTTCCCATGTTGCCTTTGTTCTCATTGATGAACAGTGTTGGATTTCGGATTTTCTTTAAGCAACGATCTGTACAAGTTGGGGGCGTGTCAATGAGAAACATGCCGGAATCGATGGATGCAACAATATTCCACAATACTAAGCAGTAACATTGTCAGGATTTTTTATTTACAAAAAATAAACTGTTTAAATATGACAGGATTATAATATAACAATTAATAACAAGTTTTTATACAATACAGTTTAAAGTGGCTTCATAAATTAATTAAAAAATAATAATAAAAACGCAAAACACACCTGATGTACATTCTTTGCTCTTAATTTTCTATAAGCAGAGTTAAGAAACCTTGCTGTATCTTTGTGTAATTTATTAAAAGAAGGTACACCGCCATCTTGTGCCGACAAAAGTGACTTGAACTCACCTAACATTGTAAACACGACTTACTAGCTTGTAAGTACGAATGTCCCAGGAGGACTTGAACGCAGCATTTTATTTAGAAGGCGGGACTTGTTTTGCCATATTGTTGGTTGCACATTCTCCCTATCACAAAAATATGAGTGAACCATCTTTGTATAGATACAGTCTTTGAAAGCATTCAATTCACTCCTGTAAACAGAACAATTTTTACAATATTGCAAGTTTATTAGTCATAGTTTGCCTTACAGATATTTTATAATGCCATATTCATTCTAATTAATTTGACTGAAAATGGCATCCACTGTTAGTCCACAAAATAAAATTTCCGTTGACAAGAAAGAACAAAATTAGGGAAAATATTCAAACATTTTCTAAATTAATTTAAACCTATATAGATTTAACAATAACAACATGTGAAAAATGTAAAAATGTGAACTTCTGAAATATCATTGTGAGTACACTATCGCATTGCCGTAAAATTGTCACACTTTAGTTATTCATTGCCCAAGTTTTAGA